GCAACTTTGGGGACTTATCATCCTATTGACGAGGATTGATAAGTGGATTTTATCAGAGGTTTAATGTTAACATGACAGGGATGTGTTACGATCGGAGCAACTTTGTGGACTTATCATCCTATTGACGAGGATTAATAAGTGAATTTGTCAGAGGTTTAATGTTAACATGACAGGGATGTGTTCTTGTGACTTGCACAAGATTTTAGGAATTAGCGTCTCGCTGGGAAGACTTGCTAGGTGAGTTTTTCATCAGGAACAATGAGTTTTGATACCTGTGATTTGAATTTGATTTTGAAGACTTAGTGTCTTGCTGGGGAAGATTGCGATTTGAGATATCATCCTATGTTCAAGGATTGATAAGTTGATTGTTGTCAGAGGTATATTGTTAACGTGACAAATTGGGAGTGATGCAAGTTGAATGCATACTCTGTGGGGATGATGATCGTCAGAAGTGTAATGTTAACTCGACGATGTGAAAGGTTCGTTACTCTTAATCTAATGGATTCCAAGTAACCAACCCCCAGTCTTGATTAAGACTTAGCAGGGGAAGAAAAAGAGGCAGACAAGGTACATCGCCTAGTGAGGCACTATCTATGAAGTCAGAATAGAGGCACATCACCAGGTAGGCCATTATCAGATGAGTTTGACTATCAGAGGTAACTGTTAACGTGATAGTCTTTTGTGGACCCGCCATCCTACTTGAAGAGAATTGGTAAGAGAATTTGGAGGGAATGGACTATCAGAGGTAATCATTAACGTGATAGTTTTGATAGACCCGCCATCCTACTTGAAGAGGATTGGTGGGGGGATTTGGAGAAAACAGACTATCAGAGGTGATCATTAACGTGATAGTTTTAGTGGACTTGCCATCCTATTGAAGCGGATTGACAAGTTGATGGACTATCAGAGGTAAATGTTAACGTGATAGTTTTTTGTGGACCCGCCATCCTATTGAAGCGGATTAGCAGAAAAGGAGTAGGCCACTATCTAATGATTTTGACTATCAGAGGTAGTTGTTAACGTGATAGTTATTGGAGACCCGGCATCCTACTGAAGAAGATTAGCTTCAGTGGTCGTAGTATCTTCCCCTTCTGACTGAGGAGATTGGGCTTGGTCCGATTGCTCAGGTGAAGGTTGGGCTTGGTCCGATTGCTCAGGTTGATCCTGCCTACTCTGTTCTTCAGCTTTGATCCTGGCAATAATCTTTTGAGCATGTTCGCCTTGAGAGATTAGTTGTCTCCAGGAATGACATTCTGCAACTCCTATTCGGGCTAGGAGGTCGGTCTGCAAGTTGTGCCGACAGGTCTCTACTAGTGTAGACTGTGTCATACCTGATGAACACCGCAGAGCCATGTTTCGAAACCTCTTGACGAAGGCTTTGACGGACTCCCTCTTCTTCTGCTTAGTGGCGAGAAGGGTATGGATGGAGACTTTCGTATCCTCTTCAAAGAATCTCGACAGGAAGAGTCTCTCTAAATCTGCCCACCTTTGGATACATCCGACAGGTAGTTTCCTAAACCATTCAAAGGCAACTCCCTTAAGGGTGCCAATGAACAATCGAGCCAGTATGGCATCGTTTGATATTACATTCCCAGTCTGTGACTTGAAATGATAAATATGTTGGTTCGGTGATCCCGTGCCGTCAAAAGTTTGTAGCATCGGGACTTTAAATTTTGGAGGATAAGGGGCTGCATCCCATTCGGCAGGATAGGGTCTGACAACTCCCTCGTCTTGGAGCTCGCTTCTGTTGGCCATGGCATTGAGGCGGGCTTCTAATTCTTCTATTTTGGCAGACTGGAGATTATGCTCGTTCTCCGTCTCTCTTCCTTCATCAGAGGAAGATTCCAGGCTGTGGGCTTCTTGGTCAGAAGCAGCCTCATCAACCACTTTTTCCTTCCCTTTGCTTGCGTGAGGTCGGGATGAAGACGCTTTTTCTCTCCGGGAAGATTCTTGCCTAAGCGGCGAATCTGTCTTCTGAGATTTAGCCTTGTCTGCGACAATTTGAGTCAACAGGGCCATGAGTTCATTGATGGCCTCTTGCTGAGATTTGAGCATGGCCTCCTGCTCATCAAGTCTCTTCGCGAGATCTTCATGGCTTTCTATCATATAGGCGGAGCTCTCATGTTCAACAAAGGAGCTTGATGATTGGGACTCTGCAATGACTGAGTGTTCATCATTGGAATTGGTTCCCCTGGCTAACCTCTGATAGTTGACAGGGGGAATGGCTCCTGTTCGCGTCCGAGTGCGTCGGTAAACTCCTTCAAACTCGTTAGCGATTTCTCTGACGGTCGGCGAACGACTTGTCTCAGAATCATCAGAAATAGGACCTGAGGCTTTCCCTCTGCCGATCACATTGATAGTGACTCCAGGATACTCAGTCTCTAGGGACTTCCTCCTGTGCGAACGTCGTCGTTGGTTAGGCAAAGCAACGTTTGTTAATTGGTCAAGCACCAATTGTTTGGCTGCACATGAGTAGCATTGGCATCCCGAGAGGACCGTAGGAATCAGCCGTTCACGTTGGAATGAACGAATGACTTGTTGCATCGGTCTTTCTCTCAATATGAACTCTCTCAAATCTGTTTTAAAGATTCGAGGAGAATTACTCACTGATTGTGAGGTTTGAATTGGAACCCCCAGTCCATGATTGGACAGGACTGGCTCTTGGTGAACATGGATGTGGTTGAGATTCCTTGAATCCATGAACTTTTTATATCCGCCCCTCGATCTAGTCGCGCTACGCACCGAAGCTCCACGATATACACCAGGCGCGGTATTGGATTTGGAACTTGGGACGCGAGGGTCGCGTTTGGCATTTGATACGCGAAGGTCGCGTTTGGCATTTGAAACGCGAAGGTCGCGTTTGGCACTAGAAACGCGAAGGTCCCGTTTGGCACTTGAAACGCGAGGGTCGCATTTTGGTTTGGCGACATGAGGGTCGCGTTCTTTAACATCGACGCGAGGGTCGTGTTTTGACTGGGAAACGCGAAGTTAAAGTTCGCGTTCAACGAAGGCTTGAGGTCCGTGTTTTGGCTGTAAAACGCGCCATTGAGGGCCGCGTTCAGTCTGGTTCTCGCGAAGCTCATGTTTGGGCTCATAAACGCGAAGTTCAGGGTCGCGTTTAGGCTCACGAACGCGAAGTTCGCGTTGGTTGGAGGATTGACTTTTTCGAAGTTGTGCTCGTCGTGAGAGAGAGATTTTGTAATCTTCTATTCTTCATAATCTAGAGAAGGTATTTTTCTTCGCCAATTGATTTGTTTTGTGTGTTTTGCTGTTTTCTTCTCAAACCCACATTTGATAATTTCACGATCAAAGGTGCTCGCACGACGACTCGTATCAAGTTGGTTTCAGAGCGATCAGATCCTGTGAAGGGGGAATCCTGTGTATGGTCCTTACTCGATCACAATACAAGAAGCTATGCGAGATTCTAGGTGTCATTGTTTGTAGGAAAAATTGCAATGAAAAGAATAAAGAAAATTGACTTGTATTTCTTTGATTCCGATTATAATTCGATTACAAAAGAGAGGAGAACGAAATTGGTTCTTCCTCTTTGTTTAAAACTGGGTTCTTCACGGTGGCGATGGAGTGCCTCCTCGAGTGTTCGCGTCGAGTTTGCTCTCCGTTGACGATCCGCACGTCTTGATTCACTGGAACGACGTCTTCTCCTCACGATTTGATGTTGTGGAGAACTTGCGTGGCAAGTTTAAAACTCTTAATGAGTTGATAACTCTGATCGAGTTTGAACTCTTGAAAAAGAGTTGATTTGAACCGAAAGTTCGGTTAATAGCCAAGGATCAAAGCTCTCTGTTGCCGAACATTGAAGATGATCTTCCTTGAAGGATGATGTTGATCTCCTCCGAAGTTCGCCCAATGATCTCCCTTGTTGCTGCCAATTCTTAGCTCCGAAAAAATATCAGCCTTCTGTTCTCACAAAAGCCAGCCCTTAACTCAGTTGAGTTTACCCATATTTATAGGGAATTAAGGGTGTAACCGTCCCCTTAATTCTCTCCATAGTGGGGCAGAAATCCCTCAAATCGTGGAGGGAAAACGGTTCCTGCAACCGTTCAGCTCGTGTTTGAACGAGTCAAACGCCCACGTGGGCGTTCAGGATCCTAACTCCGCGTTTTAGAATTGAGACGCGGAGTTGGGTACTAGCTGGGCATTAAAAAACGCGGGTCAGCATTAAAAAACGCGGGTCTGACCCCAGCGTTTTAATGTTGTAACGCGGGTCCGACTCCAGTGTTTTGATGTTGTAACGCGGGTTCGACCCTGGCGTTTTGATGCTGTAACGCGGGTTCGACCATGGCGTTTTGATGTTGTAACACGGGTTCGACCCTGGCGTTTTGATGTTGTAACGCGGGTTCGACCCTGACGTTTTGATGTTGTAACGCGGGTCGTTTTGGTGTTGATACACGGGGAGGACCTCCGCGTCTTGCCTTGAAGAGATTATCACCAAGTAATCTCTTTTTGTCATAGCGTTGCAAAGATCATTGTCTTGTAATCTTCGCCTTGGCTCCTTGAGAATATGAGAGTCGTCAGATTGTAACTCCCGATGTTGATTGTGAAGGCTGTTGAAGTAGAGCTTCCATCAGTTGTCGTGAAGGTCGTCAGATTGTAACCTTCAGCGATCTACGCGAAAGTCTTCAGATTATAGCCTTCTGGAAGTCATCAGATTATAACTTCCATCACTGGTGTTTGATGGGGGATAAGCTATCTATTGTGATTTTTAGACAGCCTACAGAGATGTGTAAAATAGTAACCAAAAAACATAAATTTAGGTAATTTTGGCGATGATAGCTACATTTGCTAAGTTTTCAAATTCATTACCCACTATAACTTGCAAGAATTTCAACAAAATAAAAATGAAAAAAACTCTACAAACATATCAAGTATCTTACAAAAAAAACATCTAAATAATACATTACCATTGCATATTTCACAGATATCCAGACTGGAAAACACTTGAGGCTTGTTTCATATTTCATACATATTCAAAGTGAGAATAAGTTAATATCAGAGCAAATAAGTAACAATTCTATTATCTTCTCAAATGCAGGTACAACTGACAATTACATAGTCAATTTGGACTTTGATATACCAAGAGAAATGTTAATAAGAAAAAATACAATGAGTTGCAAACTGAATAGCATGTGAGAAGAGAAGTATCCTTGATGTAAAGAAATTACAACTGAGGATTCAGAAGTGCTCGTATGATAAACCCTATCCGCAGCAACAAAAGAGGAATTCATTAGCCATCACGATATGAGCCAAAAACCTGCAAAGAAAATGAGCAGATTAATAATTTTTTTCAATCAAGCTAACAAGCTAACAAATTAAACCAAAATGTCGGATAAGTGAGACCTGTGAGAGTATTGGTTAGGGAAATCAATACACTAGATGATACACAACCTGATGCAATGATCATTCACCATGAATATATTAGCAAAAAACTTGTGTAAACTATGTAGCAAGGATCCTTCACCATGAATACATAAAACCTGGTAATGTATACATAGTACAAATGGAACCTAGAATTGACTATGTAATTGTCAAGCAAGTGATGTTTACATCAGAGGTTTTCATTTGGGTCAAAGACCCACACGAGGAAGATCATTAAGTGTTAAAAGTTGTTTTATCTATATTATTAGCATACAATTCATAAGTAACAATCACAGTGAAAAACACATTAATCATTTCACCTTCTTGTCCATTCTTACAGCATTGCTTGTGCCTAGTACTTGGCTCATTTTGAACATCAAACAATTAAAGTTTGACGAATAGCACTAGGATTTACCAAAATGACTGACTGGGGACAATACATCACCTATAAATTTATGCAAAAGATCAATTCTAATGTGACTTATTTAATAAATCACGCAAAACACGAGAATCTGATGTTGAACCCTCCCAACCAGGTAGCACAAATAAGAGGTCGGATTATAAAAGGTCTCGGGTCTAAGACCGGGTTACAACTTATCGATAAAAAAACAAAAAACAAAACAAAAACAAAAACAAAAAAAAAAACAAAAGGGAGGAGGAAGAAGAAGGGGCATTGCTGATAAGTCTGAATTTTAAAACATCGATTACCCAGACAAACCTGTGTTTCAAGCTTTTCGAGGTCAGTCACCTTAGTTGCCCCATCAGCATCGAACATCAAAAGGAGTTTACCACGTGAATGAAGCATTCCCTGTTTAACAATGCTTTCGCAAAATTAAGAAGCATTGGTCAATCAGTGCTGAAAATAAATTCCATGTCCACCCAACTAGCAAAACCAGTAATATATAAACATTATCTACACATTTATAATAGCTCCCAAATAAATATACACTCAAGTACTCAACACCAATGTCAGTCTTCAGGAAAAAAATATATAGAAGGCTAGAAGACGTACTTTTCTTATAGCTTCTCCTTTTCCGTGATTTCTTCCCAGCAGCATGACCCTTACATTATCAATCTTGTACTTCCTAACAAAGTTAAAAGCTACCTTTGATGTCCTATCCTTACTTCCATCATCAACTATCAACACCTGTATTAGAGACATAATACATATAATATATCAGAAAGTTTTCAGGAAACCTTGAAAGCGGTAATAATATTCTACACTGAACAAGGCAGTGTCGTAACTATGAAGTGTGACACTAAAAAGTAATAAACAATTACTCACATTTCACAAGTAACCAAGTAAAAACAAACTATTCATGGTTCTTCGAGTAACTGATAGCATGACTAAGCCTTGCACAACAAGTTCAGTGTGTATGCATTTCACTAACATACTTATGCATGTGATATTATAGTTTAGATTAGCGTTGCTGGAGATACCTACAAAGAAGAAGTAATTAACAGTTGTATAAAATAAATAACCTCAAAATAATGTAATATTAGATTACCATCATAAACAAATACTGGAAAGCGTTTGCTACAAATGTTAATGCACGTGCTAGTTCATACATGTTCGTATGTTAGCGCAAATGTTGCACTAACTGTTTATAATTAAGGCTGCAGTCTAATAGGAAGAGAATTAACATAGAGTCTAAAGTTACAATTTTGATTGTCAAAGGAATAGAAAACGTAAAATAGCCATTGCCTTACAGAAGTCAAAATGAACAAAAGGGGCTCCCACGGAAAAGTTAGCACAGTTTGCAACTGATAAAAGCACCTACGAAACTAGAAGGAATAAGGATAGAACACTAAAAACGAATAATTACCCATTTCTGAAAGTATTCATTTATGTTATTTTGCACAAAGAAGAGATTTGATCTTGAGCATTCTCTTGGCTAGAGGGTAATGTTTGTCTGGCTACTTGTTTCAATTGTTCTTTTTGTACTTGATCATATTCTCATAATAGCATCATTAAAGGTGTATTATAGCCATTTCTTCATATTGGCAGAAGCAGGTAGCTAACAGCTGAAATAGAGTGATTATAAGAAGTCTCGGAGAGGAAAGATCAAGTTGTCACAAGAACTTATCATATTAATGTCAAAGACTCGGAAAGACCGTGGTGTAGTATATGCTGGCCTTCCTTCTTTCCTTATTTTGCTTCCAGTATATTGGTAAGCATAAATTGAGCCTATGTAGTGATACACTTTGAGAAAGCAACCACTTAAGAATTTGATAACACAATTGACGACACTAACCAGATACACCAACTTTTATGCTAATAATACTGAAAGAATTTCAGTTTATAAGCATTTTAATTGGCCAAGTGAGTATTTGATCCGGATTTATAGGAGAATTGGTGACCTCACGGTTAATGACTCATCTCTTCTGTTCTTGGAGAATATGACAAGCCTGTCCATTCTGTAAGCTTATAACCTTACCCCAACACACACACACACCCACCCACCCACCCCCACACACACACAAAACACAAAAACCCAGCCGCCCCCGTACCTGCACAAGCACACGCACACAACCACAACCACAAAGAAAAGGAAAGAGAAACTCATATAAAACATTAGATTATACCTTAAACACCAGCTAAAAGAGATATAGAGAGAATAGAAATAATTTACACTATATAGGAAGTTGAACTACTTAAAAAGAATACACAAATTCCAACTGCAATATATGACTACTTAAATATAGAAAAACACCATAGTTCTCAGCTCATTTTGAACTACTTTTCCAAGTTCTGTATCCAGTTTTACTAATATCAACCAGACAGAAACTGCCTTTCCATAATAGCAACAAGGGATTTGCTCATCATAAATTAATTAACCTAGTTACAAACTTCTAAATATCAAGCTATAAATGTTTGTATACTTTTATAAAAAAATGTTTATGTGCATAAATAGTTGAGAAAAAGAAAACAGATGTCTAACCAACAAACACAAACAAGAGAGATGTTGTATTTAATTGTCTTTGTACATGTGAAAAGGCCATGACCTCAGAAAAGGCAAAGCATACATTTTACTTCTTGTATTTAATTGTGTTTAATTGTCTTTATACCCTGTTATATTTTAAATGTAAGGTATATGTCATTGTGTATATGTTTTATTTTTGAATGTGTTTAGTATTGTTGAACCTCAGAGCTTATGAACGATTCATCAAAGGTAACCAAGATTTCTCATTTGTTTGACAATATTGCGCATGTCACACAGCAAGGCTGGAAATGGGTTCGGGATGGCCCTCAGCTGTATGGAATTGTGGCGAGGAATCATGAATATAATTCTATATTCTAACAACTCGTAATGTTGCTCAACTTATTGCTAAGGCCGACCAATAAAACCTTAAATACTGAATTTTTTAATAGGTGCAACACTATAAGACAGCTGAGGTTTCAAACTTTAATATTCCAACTCAGTGATACAATTTAATAACTGAGAGTGCAATCTAACCTTTTACAATCACACTCATCAACTGTAGGGGACAACTAATACAAAAAAGATACAGAAGAGAATTATGTAGGCTAGAATCAAAATTACTTTCTAATATTTGAAGATTATACATATATCCTGAATAAAAGTTGAAGATAATAGATTGTAAAGGTATATAAGCTGAAAATTAAAGCAGGAAAAAAAGTAAATAATTCAGAAATACTGGTGAACTAGAGAGCCATCCAGTTCCTCCTCCTAACTTGAGAAAAAAAAATTTGTGCCCTAGAATCAATAAAATCCAACTTCAGCGCGAAAGAAACAAAGAAAAAAAAATTACATATTAGAATGACAAGTTAATGAGAAGAAGAATTAGAATCACAAAAGGATTATTACCAGCAAGCGCTCCTCTTTGCTGTTGTGGACAAAGAACGAACCGAGGAGAGAGAGAGACCCTCGGAAGCGGAAGAGGATAAGAACTGAAGAATAATAGGGGCAGGGACAAGAGAAAGAGAGAGAGGGGGGTATCGCGACTTGAAAAGAAAGAGAGGATCGGGTCGGGATTTGATAAATGACAACGGGTGGGTTGGAATTTGAAATCAGTTGTTTTGGGCTTTTAAATTCATCTTTGTTAAATCAATGGATTCAAAATCTAGGTCCAAATCAGAACCCAAACTAGATATTTGGATTTGAAATACCCAGTATTTTAAATCCAGGCCCAAATCCAAGTTCCCAAACGCACCCTTAAGGTATTTAGATGCTATCTAGCCGTAATTAATGAAAGAAGCGAATGCACTAGTGAAGATCAATAACAAACAATCGATGCTTTAGTTTTTGAATGCGGTAGCACTTGCAAAAGGCCTCTTATTGGTTTTTATGCAAGTCCCACGATAAAGCAGCAGACATTAATCGATTCAAGATATGTTGTTGCTACTTTTTGGTTGGGACCACACCGTCAGTTCCGGCCAACAGAGAGTACTTGTCCTTCCTAGTGAAGTTGGTGCACTCGAACCCCAACGTGCGCCCGACCTCGCTCTGTATGTGATTAGCAACCTCAACGGGTGACTTCCCCCCTGCACAGGTCAGCTCTTCTGGCAGCTGCTCCAAGAAGGTGACCTCGTAGGTGAGAGTTGGGCTCATGAACACAAAGTAGGGATCCAGCATTTTCCATCCCCTCACGGACGTGCCATAGAACATGCTCTGTTTGACATTGATGGCAACTGGAACAATTCGATCAGAGAGCTCAGCGAAGAGGGCGCTGAATCTCAGAAGAAAGGGTTCACGGCATGTGGTGCCTTCGGGACAGATCACCAAGTCCCCTTCTTCTAATAAGCGTCTCATATTTGCACCATCCCTCTCTCTCTCCCTAGATAGCGCAACAGCTTTGATGGGGGAGATGAGCTCAGAGAACCTGCTGATGCTGTAGGTGACGGAACTGATTTTGCGGCGGAGGGCAACTGCGGTGATGACAGGGTCTACGAGGGTGCGGTGATTGCAGACAAAGAGGACGCCAGGATGACCTTTCTGAGGGGGAGGGGGAGGGACACCTTTGACGACGAGTTTGACAGCCATGAAGCTGTACACGTAGAACAGAATGTGCTGGGGGACCATCATCGTCGAGAAGACGCGAACCAGTGAGAGGACGAAGCCGATGGGCAACCACATAAAGGTGAGGAGGGAGACAAAGGGAGTGGGGCGCTGGACCAAGCGGCCATCATGGTGGATCACTTTGCTCAACAATTGGTTCCTAGGCACCGGATTGCATTTGCTTGGGGGCACAATGTACCCTTCCTGCAACACATCCCAAACCTCATTAACTCTACTTATGTATATCAATGTTAAAAGCAGGATCAACTGTCTACATTTTTTTTCCCTGCAAATAACTCATACTATTCCAAGTATCTAGTTATCAAATATACGGAAGGTTATCGGTTTGATGATGATGCTCCTGATCTATTGAGGTTATTTGGCATTACAATTCATACAAATAGAGTTTTTCTTCAAATTCAGATCCATTTGTTTACAAGTAGAATTAAAAAACCATTCAACCATGTGGCATAGTTGGATTAAAAAACCATTCAACCATGTGGCATAGTTGGATTAGACCCTCTACTGCATTTTCACAGTAGTTGGATTAAAAAACCATTCAACCATGTGGCATAGTTGGATTAAAAAACCATTCAACCATGTGGCATAGTTGGATTAAAAAACTCCCTTAGCATCACTCAATTGCGAATATACCCCCTGCACTTCTATTTTTGCGAATAGAGCCCCTGGGTCATTTTTTTAACTATTAAAATCGTTACAAAAGTTTCAAGAGGCGGGTAGACCCCCTATACTTCTGTTGGTGAGGATAGATCATACAAGTGCTTTCTTTTTAAATTTTAAAAGAGAAGAAAAAAGTTCAATAAGAGGGTGTATTCACATATGCGTCAATACTATAGGGGGGACAAAAGTATGAGGGTCCATTCACAATTAGGTGATACTACATAGAATATTCACAATTATGTTAGTCTAAGTGTGTAGATCCAAAGTTGAATCAAAAAGACGAAGAAAACAGTCTAGTCACTGGCCGGTCGAGCGACGAAGGAGGTCTGGTCGACCGTGATGCCTACAGAAAACTGAGAATAAATCAACACTATGGTCGGTCGACCGACATCAGGAGTCTGGTCGACCGAAACGTGCACGCCAGACCCTGCAGAATTCGTCGTTCTGGCCGGTCGACCGACTTTGCATGTCTGGTCAACCGAAGTCGGGATTTCCGGAATCCCGATTCTTTTAGGAATTTGTTTTGGGCTGGGACTCTATATATACCTTAAATATTTTTAGATTTTATATGCAATAGAAAAAGAGGGTTTTTGAGAGGATTCTTTTGAGAGATCTCAGGGAGATAAAAACCTATATATGGGCATTGTAATCTTCTTCAATTAATCAAAGAATTGTGTGGTGTGGCTCCCGAGGACGTAGGCACATTGTCAAACCTCGTTAAATCTAGTGTGTTCTTTCTTGTTTACTTTCCTGCAAGTTTTATCTTTTATTTATGGTGATTTTCTTACTTTCCTACTCTCAAACACAAGGTCTGGAAGGGCGCAATTTCAATTTGATTGTTTTGAATCCCCAACAACTGGTATCAGAGCTTTGTTCAGAAGGTTTGTGTGAGAGCCATGGAAGAGGAAAGCAAACCTAAGATCGAGAAGTTTGACAACTCAGACTTCACCTATTGAAAGTTGCAGATATAGGACTATCTGTGCCAGAAGGATTTGTACCATCCGTTGATGGGCAAAACTAAAGGAAAGAAGAAAGAGGAATCAGACGAGGAGTGAGAGATACTTGATAGGAAGGCTCTAGGGTAAATCTGGTTGTCACTCGTCAAGACAGTCGCACACAATATATTGAAGGAGAAGACAACGGTGGGGCTTATGAAAGTACTCGCGAAGATGTACGAGCAACCGTCAGCCGCAAACAAGGTGCATCTCGTCAAAACACTCTTCAACCTCAAGATGGCAGAAGGACGCTCCTTCACAATGCACCTCAGTGAGTTCAACATGATTGTTGATCAACTTATCTTCGTGGACATCACGTTTGATGACAAAGCATAGACCATATTGATTCTATCGCAGTTTCCGTATAGTTGGGCAGGTTGTGTGATCGCAATTAGTAATTCTGCGGGGAAGGAAAAGTTAAAGCTAAGCGAGGTTGTTAGCATGATTCTATCCGAGGAGGTTAGAAGAAAATCATCCAAATCAGAAGGTTCAGGATCAGCCCTAAATCTCGAGCAGAGAGGCAGAAGCCAGAAGAAGGGTAACCAGATCAAGAATCGGTCGAAGTCAACCAAGAAGAGATCAAACTCGAAAGTTAGGCCTATCAAAGGAAAGTGTTGAAACTGCGACTAGGAGGGCTATATATCGTCATCCAGTAAAATAAAAAATAAGGATGCGAATGAGCAGGATGCTCATCTCGTGCAAGATGCCTTGATCCTTGCTATGGATAGCGATTCTGATTCATGAGTTATTGATTCGGGATCCTCGTTCCACGCCACTGCTAATAGGAAGCTTCTTCATAACTATGTAGTAGGGGACTTTGAGAAAGTATACTTGGGGGATAATGAACCCTGTAGTGTTGTTGAAAGATGTGATGTGCAAATACAGTTGAAGGGCTCTAAGTGGAATCTGAAGAATGTCAGACATGTACCGAAGCTAAAGAGGAATCTTATTTCGCTTGGCTAGCTTGGAGCAGAAGGCTATGTTTTAACATTCACCGGGGATTCGTGGAAAATCTCCAACGACACGATGGTGGTTGCCCGAGATAACAAAACAGGAACTCTCTACCTCACCTCACATGTGAGTGACACCCTCGCAATTGCAGCTGTAAGGACCGTGAATTTTTAATACTAGTTAAAATATCTTTTTGTATTTTAAAATATTCAATTATTATTTTTAAAAGAGTATTTGTATTTTTTTTAATTTTTTAGAATTTTCTATGATTTAAAGTCCATTTGTATTTTTTTTAATTTTTTAGAATTTTCTATGATTTAAAGTCCAAGTTTTATATTTATTTAAATGATATTAATATTTATAAATTAATTTTCTATGATTTAAAGTCCAAGTTTTATATTTATTTAAATGATATTAATATTTATAAATTAATTTTGTGTGGTAAAAGTTTTTGGAATTAATCTATTGTATTATTGATACTATTACGTATTATTTTTGAAGAATATGTTGTATTATTATTACATATTATTTCGTATAATACGTTGTATTATTAATTACGTATAATTTGTTGTATTACTTCTACTATTGTATATTTTTGGTTGTATTAGAAAAACTGGTATGTTTTATTGTGTAGATAATTATCCCATAATTATTTGTTTTTAAATGTAAGTAAATATATTTTTATTATTAATTATTCTTATTTAACTGTACAATATATGTATATTTCGACTATTTCGTATCAACTATTGTATTAGCACAACATGTACATTTTTATTTATAGATAATTATTCTATAATTAGTTTAATTTTTAAGTACCCATAATTATTTATTTTAATTATTTTTAAAAAACCCTAATTTCCCTTTACTTATAAATATCTCTCCCCCTCTCTCTTCTTCTCTCCCTCTCTCTCGTGTTTTTCACGCCGCCAGAGAACCCAACAGCATCTTTTCTCTCTCTCCGCTCACATCCTCAACCCCGCGCCTTACACCCGCCGATCAACTCTCTACGCGCCGCCGCGGGCGCACACTACCTCTCCACCTCCTAGTCCTCACGCCGGCACATCCTCCCCTCTGCCAACAGCGCGTAAAACCGACCCCTCTCTCATCTATCATCTCTTTCTCTATCCCGAGCCACCTCACCCCGCCGAGCCTAGCAAACCCCTCCACCCGTGGCGACCAACCGTCCACCTCTCGGCTGCCCGCCGCCGCCCATACACCGCCAGCGCACCATCCAATCAGCCGCCCAAACTCCAGCAGCCACTCACACCGCGCCTACTTCCACAACATCCAACGCCCTCGTCCTCATTCCGCTGTCGAGATCCCCGCTCCGCACACCCGCCGAACAAAACCCACCGCCGTATCCCCGTACAACCCCGTCGGAACCCATCGAGACACCCCGACGATCCCGACAACCTCCTCCCACCTACGGCAAGCCTGGACAGAGGCGAAAGACTCCGAACAGCGAAGAACAAACCCGAACGGCGAGCAATTGCACCGCAAAAAACTGTAGTTTTGGGCCGACTTCGCGCGTGTTTTCCGGCCATTTCCGACCTCCGTTTCTGTCGATTCCTTCGCCGGTGCGTAGCCCTTCGTGTTTTCTATTATACGGTATATTCCTTTCACTTGGGCTCCTTATCTACAGCTCGTTATATTCATTTGAATATCATACGTTGCAATAACACTCTAAGTTGTAATTTTAGCCGTTGATTCCGCGAAACCCGTCGTAACGCCGTGCAACCACCCCGACGATCCCCGCTGTAGTTGACGACGTACCCAAGGCAAGATCCCTCTTGCTCGTTGTCTCGTTAACTTAAATTTTTTTTATCTTTTATGAATTTATTACGTATATACGTAGATTAGTTTGTGCTGATATGATATTAATTATGTAGTTGTTGATAATATTGCAATGAATATATTATGTGAAACGATGCTATAAATGATGAATAAGTATGTCAAAAAAATAGTTTATGGTTAATTTCGTGTGTTTGAAAGGAAGAATATATTTATAGAGTATTTTTTAGAATTATTTATAATGAGGAAAATATTTTAAAAGGAATTATTTCTAGAAAATAATTTATTTTGGATAAGGAGTATTTTTGAATAATTGATATGATTAAAAAAATTATTTTGAGAAAAATAGTATTTTAGATTATTTTATAAAATATCATAGAAATCATTTATAAAAGTAAAAAGTATTACTGTTCATAAATAATAATAAAATATATTTTAAGTAGATTATTTTATAATTTTATAATGAGAAATAATTTTAAAGGAAATTATTCTTAGAATTAATAACTGAGATTTCGATTTTCGTGTGCAAAACATCTGCTAATGGTAGTTTCATCTTGCATTGTTAATAGTAGCTTTACTCTCGTATGTTTCTTACATGTGATCACGACCCATGTTCACACTTCATGACATTGACACTTAGAGTACGCATTTATTATTCCATATTGAGAATCATGAGAAGTACATGACTATAGTGACCTGTATGACATAGTTAGGAACTAGAACCTCGTGTGTAGTTGACCTGGAATTACGAGAATTAGAGTGAGAAGTCTTGGTCCATGTGAGCAGTTGGGATTGTTGATGTATTTTGTAGGCTCACGCCGGTGAAGTTTGTGTAGTCACCGGGGTGGGTCTCAGGAGTTGAGATATTTGTGATTGTGGTTGTATTCTGGGCTCGCTGGTGAAGTTTGTGTAGTCACTGGGGTGGGTCTGAGAAGTTGAGATACTTGTGATTATGGTTGTATTCCGGGCTCGTGCCGGTGAAGTTTGTGTAGTCACCAGGGTGAGTCTGAGGAGTTGAGATATTTGTGATTGTGGTTGTATTTCGGGCTCGTGCCAGGGAAGTTTGTGTAGTCACCGGGGTGGGTCTGAGGAGTTGGGATATTTGTGATTTACGATCAGTCAGTTATCCGATGATATGAGCGTTGACTCTGTGTGAGTTGTGAACCAGTGACCTGTTATAGGATGACTAGTTACGTGACCTTGTTACTTAAGATGATTATGGATTCTTATGTGAAATGCAGGTCAGTTGTATTTTTTTCATACATAGATCGTGGTTAATATTTAATTATCTACAATTTGAGACATATGGTATATACATGAGGGTTCATACATAGATCGTGGTTAATATTTAATTATCTACAATTTGAGACATATGGTATATACATGAGGGTTTTCTTGTTTGGATTATAATTTGAGACATATGGTATATACATGAGGGTTTTCTTGTTTGGATTATTTCGCTCGACGTACTACATCTCTTATTATAGATTTTTAAGTATTAATTCCATCTATTTATATGATATGGTTACCTTGATGATTATTCTGATGGCTAGCTGCATAATCGACATGTTACTTGATTGATTTTGTTGAATTTCCAATTGCACGTCCTTTTGTCATTTCTATTATCGTATCGTTTTCCACTTTGGTTTTCGTTTGTTCTATTTTCTTTTGTGGAGTCTTGCCGTGTGCCATGCACGCTGACGTACACCTGTTTTCTCTGGTGTACGTCAGACTTAGTGAAAGAACAGGTTCAGCTGGGAGATCGCCAGGAGCCAGAGGATTCTCAGCAAGAGTGCCTTGTAGACGGAGCATAACAAGGAGTCAAAGCCTATTCTTTTTATTTATTGGTTTATGGTTCCAGTTTACTTTTGTAGTTCTTTCCATTCCTATTCCTGCTTGATCGATGTATTTTATATTTCTTCAGTTTTAAGTTGTTCAAGTTTGTATAAGGGCATGTTGACCCAAATATTTTTTGTCTCGGATGATATTCTATTTGTGATATGTATTATTTTATTCTGTGTTGTTCATTATATTCTTGCTATCTGTGATCGGGGATCTGTGCCTTTGCATTTATTTTCTTGACGCTTAGTGTTTTAGGTTGAGGAGAAATGTTTATTTTATTTATTCTCCTTAATCTAATATGTTACGGGCTTGTTCACGTTTCGATTCTTGGGTATTTTGAGAAGCGGGACGTGACAACAGCTGGCAAGGAGAGTGCAGATCTGTGGCATAATAGGTTGGGACACATGATCAAGAAGGGGATGAAAATTCTATATTCACAAGGAAAGCTAACCGGCATCGATTCAGTAGAAGTTGGTGTTCGCGAGGATTGTGTCTATGGGAACCAAAAGAGAGTTAGTTTTCAAAAGGGTGGAAGACCACCTAAAGCTCAGAAGGTAGAGCTTGTTCATACAGACATATGGGGTCCAGCTAGTGTGTCTTCTCTTAGCAGTTTGACGTATTATGCCACCTTTACCGACGATCACTCGAGGAAGGTGTGGGTACACTTCATGAAGCACAAGTCAGAGGTGTTCGGGATCTTCAAAAAGTGGAAGGTCATGGTGGAGAACGAGACAGATCTAAAGGTAAAGTGTCTGAGATTAGACAATGGTGAAGAATACGAGCTGGAGGAGTTCAAGAGGTTCTGTGCTCTAAACGGGATTCGTTTGAGAGGATTACTCTAGGGACACCGTAGCAGAACGGAGTTGCGAAAAGGATGAACAGGACATTGACGGAGTGTGCCAAGAGCATGTGATTACATACAGGTCTACCTAAGACATTTTGGGCGAATGCAGTGCATACGACAGCTTACTTGATTAATCATGGGTCATCATTTCCATTGGATTTCGGGATTTCAGAGGAGGTTTGGAGTGACAAAAAGATCAATCTCTCACACTTGCGAGTATTTGGTTGCGTGGCATATGTTCATATTAGTGACCATGTCAGGGACAAGCTAGAAACTAAGTCACAGAAGTATCATTCATTAGATATGGTATTGATGAGTTCGGGTATCATATTTGGGATGAGAAAAATAGAAAGATCATCAGGAGCAGGGATGTGATATTCAATGAGGAGGTGATGTATAAGATCAGGGACAATGCCAATGTTAGTCAAAATAGTAGGAGCACACTAAGAATACAGATGGATCCAAGTACATAGATTTGGAGCAACTTCCAGATGGGGAAAGATAGTGCTAGTTCTAACTTGGATTATACAGAGATTCCCCCCCCCCCCCAATTGTGAAGCTTACAACCATCAGAGTGGTATTGAGCTTAGTAGCTACAGAAGATCTCTACCTTAAACAGTTAGATGTGAAGATTGACTTTCTTCATGATGACTTGGATGAAGAAATCTACATGAAGCAACATGTTGGCTTCATTAAAGAAGAAGAGGAAGAGATGGTGTGTAAGCTCAAGAAGAGCTTGTACAGTTTGAAACAGGCTCCGATATAGTGGTATAAGAAGTTCGACAACTTCATGCAGAGCAATGGTTATGGAAGATGCAATTCAAACCATTATTACTACTTCAAGAGTTCGAGTCCATCTATATCGTGCTATTATTGTATGTTGATAACATGTTAGTTGCATGACCGTGTTTAGAGGAGATAAACAACTTAAAGAAGCAGTTGGTGAAGGATTTTGCTATAAAGGATCTGGGTGCAACGAAGTAAATTCTTAGGATGCGAATCAGTAGAGATGAAGCTGAAGGGACGTTGAAGTTGAGTCAAGCTGAATACATCAAGAATTTACATCAGAGGTTCAACATGCAGAATGCTAAGGTTGTTAGCATACCCCTTGGAAGCCAGTTCGAGTTATCTAAGGAGCAATCACCCAAGACAGATGTAGAGAAGGAGCACATAAGCAAAGTACCGTATTCATCAACCATTGGTAGTCTTATGTACGTGATGGTTTGCATGAGACCGGATATTGCCTATGCAGTAGGAGTTGTGAGCATGTTTGCAAGCAATCCAGGAAAGTAGCATTGGGAGGCCGTGAAGTGGACATTATGTCACTTGAGAGGGACTACGGACAAGCCACTATGGTTTAAGAGTAAGGCTTTGGTACTACGGGGATACGTGGATGCGGATTTTGCCAGTGATCATGATACGAGGCGAAATACCACAAGGTATGTTTATACCTTGGCGTCGACAGCAGTGAGTTTGGTCTCACGTTTGTAGAAGATTGTAACATTGTCCACAACTAAGGCAGAGTATGTCACAGTGATTGAAGCCAGCAAGGAGATGATTTGGTTGACCGGGTGCTTGGAAGAGTTGGATCTAAAGCGGAGAAACGAAGTTGTTTATTGTGATAGCCAGAGCGTTATACACCTTGTCAAGAATTCAGTATATCATATCAGAACGAAGCACATCGACGTACGATACCATTTCATACGCTCGCTGATTAAGAACGAGAAGTTATAGCTAGAGAAGATTTTGGGGAGTCAAAATCCTGTGGATATGTTGACGAAAGCAGTGACCATTAAGAAACTGGAGTTATGCGCAACTTCAGTTAGCCTTCACACGTAGTAGATGAAGGCAGAACCACACCAGGAGGATCGGCGGGATCGCCGGATTGATGATGATTGAAGAATGAATTTTTTCGTGTAGGAGAAGATGCTTGCGAAGAAGGCAGAAGTTCGGGTGAGCTCGTTGATAGTGCTTTGGTTTCCAAGTGAGAGATTGTTAGTTTAAGTGTGTAGACCCAAAGTTGAATAAAAAAGACAAAGAAAACATTCCAGTCGCTGGCCAGTTGACCGGCGGAGGAGGTCCAGTCGATCGCTATGCATGTAGGAAACTGAGAAGAAATCGACACTTTGGTCGGTCGACTGACATCAGGAGTCTGGTCTACCGAAACGTGCACGTCAAACCTTGCAGAATTCGTCTTTCTGGCCGGTCGACCGACTTTGCATGTCCGGTCGACCGGAGTCGGGATTTCCAGAATCCTGATTCTTTTAAGAATCTGTTTTGGGCTGGGACTCTATATATACCTTAACCGTTTTTAGGTTTTATGTACAATAGAAAAAGAGGGTTTTTGAGTGGATTCTAGAGATCTCAGAGAGATAAAAACCTATTTGTGGGCATTGTAATCTTCTTCAATTAATCAAAGAATTGTGTGGTGTGGCTCCCGATGACGTAGGCACGTTGTCGAACCTCGTTAAATCTAGTGTGTTCTTTCTTGTTTACTTTCCTGCAAGTTTTATCTTTTATTTGCGGTGATTTTCCTACTTTCCTACTCTCAAACACAAGGTCCAGAAGGGCACAGATTCGATTTGATTGTTTCGAATCCCCAACAAATTAAACCCTTTTTCAATTATAATTCTAAAGTGAGAAAGGAGAACCCCATCACTGTGGATATAGGAAATTTTAGATTTTGGAGTGGATCGCAAGTCGTAAACGTAGTATAAATAAAGAAACATTTTTTCCTGTGCACCAAGAAGAAATTGCATCCCCACGTTCAAGTTTTTAACATTATGTTTGACTATCTCATCCTTAGATTGTCAATTAGCTCGTCTGTTTGAAACAGAACTGCTTTTTGTTTTCTAGAAATTTTAGGAACCAATTCTCTACCTCAGATAAGCATAAATAGTGCTTCAGAGGAATTTTCTCCTACGTTACAGGTGTGAGGGTGAGATTTATTTGCCTCAAAGTCAACTAAACAGAAGGGAAGACTTCATTGAAAAATGATCAATAAGGAACTATAAGAGAAAATTTATGAGCCAACCTTGCAAATGGACATGAAATCGTAATCAGTCTCTCTATCCCCGATGCCAACGTCAGGTGAGTTATCAGCTCCGCCGACTGCCTTCTCAACAACCTTCCTCTTTAGATGTCCGACGAGAACTCCAGGTTTCTTGACGAACCCAGTGGCTCTGCCAGATTTTGTAACCTGCAACTCAGTCCCCAGGACCTTGTCGGCCCCTAGGAACTTGCTGACAAAGGGTTCAACCATGATTCTCGGGCTAGCTGTGACGATGTATCTCTTTCCGAAAGAGCTGAAGACTCTCCAACCCTCTGGGTGCACATCATCTGCGTAGAATCTAGGCAACACAGAACGAGCCACCATCTCAATGTCTGGAACCCTGAGTCCCGCAAAGGAGATGAAAATGAGCATCTGTATGGCTAAAGCTTCGGAGAAAAATATGTAGGTGATGTAGACCAGAGGGGCCGACACGAGGAGGAGTATTCCCCTCAAGAGGCTGCCGGCTTCCAAGGCTACAAGCATGTAGTATGGAAAAGCATTTCGAGACACAAGAAGGGTGCCATCTAGGTCTGCTGCTACACTCTGATGCCTTCTGCCTTCCGAGCTGCTGCATCTTTGTATACGCTTGAACGTTGTAAGTGCAACCATTTGTTTGGAGGGATGGTAAAGGGGGAGGTGGGATTGACTGACTACGTACTCAAGAGGATATTGTTTTAGTAGACAGCCAGCAAGCCAGCAAAGCTAGCTATGAGCTGATTATTGAGATGGGTTAGAGGGGGAGATGAACCCAATTAGATTAGCTCTCACCCACTTAAATATTGCCAACGAAACCACAAGCGTGGAGAAATTCCATGATTACGACTTTCAGAAGTAAATGCTGTCACTAACACATTGACAGCAACGAATACACATGACACATCTCTAAAAGTCATAAACATTAATGTGAACCCATGAGGAATAAGTAAATAACGGTACGTTTTATTTATTTATTTATAGATATATAACTCCGGGAGATCTTCAATAATTGAATAGTAGCCCCTCAAATCTTGAAGATTGCATACCTGTCCCTTAAATTTTATAGGGTCTTGTAAAATAGTCCCTTTGTTACCTTTTTAGTTAAAAGACCTAATAACCAATGTAGGGCTAACTTCTAATTGAACATCTGCAATCGCAAAACTACCCCCCTCTCTCTAATATTTCAAACCTTTGTGAAGCTCAACTTTGGGTTGGGTTATTGTTTAACTATTGGAGAAGAACTCAAGTGAGTTTCAATTTTTTAAGCGCATATTAGGTTTTTAACCTATTAAGAAACAAGTTTGGGAACATAATAGAGGTAGGGTACAACAGGGATTGGTATGAGTCTGGGTGTGGGTACGGGACACAGTAAAATTGTAAGAGGTAGGGTACGGGGACACGACTTTGTATATGCATGTTATGTAGATTTATATTTATTAAAATGAATAATTTACATAAGATCATTAATATTGCTTTTTCATTTGCATAAGATCAATACATAAGAAATAGATGTGAAGTGTAGAATATACATCCAAGAAGCGTTTAAGGAGCGTTTTAAATTAAAATATGTATTGTATATTTGAGTATACGCCCCAAACAAACATATGCATATATCCAAGAAGCGTCCAAGAGGTGTCCAACATGGTTGAGTATGCATACGTGTCGGGAACGGGTACGGCTTCCTAATATACCAGGTAACATAGGATTTGACTGAATATTTTCCTCAAATCTAATGTGTGTTAACTAGAAGGACCATTTTGCAAGACCCTATAGAGGATTTGAGGAACTAATATTCAATTTCTAAGATTTGAGGGACTAATATGCAAATTCTAAGATTTAAGGGATTAATTAATATCTAAGCAAGAACCCAATGAATGAACAAATAAATGAATAAGAAGACGAGAGACGGTGGCATCTCTTCCTCCGACTGTATCTCAATTGGGGTTTAATTCAGAAGCCAACGGCATGTGGATAACGTCAACCTCCTCCTCCTTCCCAATTGCCATCGATCCGATTCAGAAGTCCATCTCTCAAAACTTTCCTACACTCGCGGTATTCACTTCTTAATTAATTACTTGGAATAATCAGTGTACAAAAACAAATTCAATTAATGGATAACAAACTATAAATGCAAATAATTAAAATATCAACGCAGACTAACTACTGAGACAGCACATGATTAGTTATATATATATATCCATCCACAATTTAAAATTTTATTCCCTGTGTTTATTTATTCTAAAATGTGCAACGCGTGGAATTAAAGGTGCCTACTACCTAATTATAAGAAAATGGGCTTACATGACTTTCCTGCTCAAACAAGCAATAAAATTGAGAAGGCGCCGATGCGAAGCCTTGATCCAACTGATATGGTCGACTCCCAAAAGCTAATTAATTAAGGATCATGAGTTTAATAACCCCAAGATAACGAAGTCCTACGATCTTCCTTTTTTTTAAGGAGTTATCAAAACCCAGCGGTGTGGGAGCTGTGGGATCTTACCGGCCAAGTTTTCACATGACCTGCATTTATAAATTTCTCAAAGAACTGATCAATTAATTACGCAATTTAATTACGAGCCACCGGAGTAAAACGCAAATGTTATTAGATCGAGGCGGTGTGAGACCATGCATAATGATGATAATGACGCTTGTACGTACTGTAATCCTCGCACTATCTTAACTTTTAACTGCCGCAAAATTCAAAACATGCATCTTTCGGAAGTAGAGGCATGCACATGACTTCCTATCGCTCTTCACAAGAAAAAAAATGACACATATTTGCATCGATCTCATGGTACCAGTTAGCATTATTCACACCGTAATTAGCAAAGCGGAGATACCTAACAGTATTAATCCAAGTTGCATCTATCAGAAAGAGGGCAACCATGCAGTTTGCTAATTATTAACACACGTACGTACGTATGCCCCTTAGCTCCAACACATCTCCTACAACTAATTAACTGTGAAGTGCAAGATGAATATAAAGGCTAGGTACGTAAGAATAAGTTTTCATGGAGAAATAAACACATGCATATATCACACATGTAAGGGAACTCCTAATCAGCGCCGTTACTTATGCCTGTGATTCGCAATCAATCTAATTAAGTGGAATACACCGATCCTATATCAGTGCCTTAATTAATTAACTAAAACAACAAATAAATGCCCTTTTCGCTCCTACTCGCAAGCTCAGGCTAAATATTAATATGGGAAACCACAAGTTAGATATATATATGACCAATATACATAGCTATATATAGGTTAAAAACTAATTAAATAGGATCTGTAGGATTAAGACCTCAAGAAGATACTAGAGGGCATCGTGGCAAGCAATTCGATCTGCGTACGTGTGATTGCATCCAAACGTACAACGAGCTAGGAGATGCTCAACTCTTGGCTCGATATTTAATTTGTAATGCTGAATATACAAAGTGAATAACCATCAGCCTAAGCAAGGAAAAGATACTTCTTTACAAAGTAAAAGGATATGGAATGTAAGAAACAGACAAGATCTAGGACAATTAAACAAGACCTTCAGAATTTGAGCTTCGTTAGCTTTTGTTTGCAATTCATTCCACCAGGTCAATCTAGCTCCTTAATTCCCTGCACATATGATTTTTTCTATATGTTCCATCTGCTACAGGTATGAACTCCATTAGCATAGTAATTACACTACTACCATGATCACTTCAATCAAGTACATTAAGACCAATCACTAATATGAATTACATGCTTGGGAATCAGGAGTTGAGTGAAAAGTCGATCAGGCAAATATATTCCAAGTGTGATTTCGTAATAATTTAAAAACATGTTCATTTAATAGAAATTAGTAATAATCATGAGTCGGTAACTATTTTGGAGGTTATGAATAGGAGTGAAACTGTCACATTTCTTTATGGCTTATTTCCCAAAAGACCTATCGGTTTGTCACATAAAACGACCTCACTGTTAATCTGGACAACAAGTAAAAATATTATTGAACAGTGGACAACAAAAACTGACAGGAGTCTGTGATAATAATATTTTGCCCAGGATAAACAATTTGGAGGAGGATAAAATTATTCTATTAATTTTTTTTCTTTCTTCTTTTCTTGACTACTTTCAACTTACAAACCACACATATATATACTACTACAATGACTCATAGATTTCCTAACAAAGACTCTTGAATTTCCCAACAATATTCATGCATCTACAAATTCATGCATCTACATATTCGTGTATTTGACTCCTCAAACAACTAAATGATCTTCTCAATTCCCAAGGTAATTCAATCAAGTTTATTTTGAACATTCTCCCTCAAACTTGATCCTTCAGTCATGCCAAGCTTGTCTCGCAATAAAGTGAACACATCATGCTTCAATGGCTTACTAAATATGTCAGCCACCTGATCTTGCGATTTCACGAACTTAAGCTCAACTTCCTTGTTCTTTACTTGATTGTAGATAAAATAATAACGAGTATAAATATGTTTCTTCCTTTCATGAAACACTAGATTTTTTGAAAGTACAATAGCTGACTTGTTGTCAACACAAATTTTGATCATCAGAATATGTCTTGAATGCATATAATATAAAAACACAAACACTAGAAATAAGATTAGAAATTGTTTGTTAATCATCAAAATAATATTAGAGAAGTAGGCTCACACATATGAGTCCTAACACATATTTGTGGAACCATTCTCTCCGGGAGGTCATGTGCCAGAAGGCTGCTGAATCTAGAAACCATTGTATAAAATTTCACCATCATCTGACGTACTGACAACGTACCATTGAGATGTTGATGGCTCTGAAGACTTTTTATCACTACTTTTCTTATTGTGCTAATACTTTGATTTCACGTGCCCTCTTTTGCTACAATTGTAGCATTTGATATTCTTCTTATTTCTTGATTTTGATCTTCCTCTCGTCACCGATAATGCCCCCACTTGTTGCGAACTTACCTGCCTATCTTTCTTATTCTTGCGTCGATTTTCTTCCTTCAGAACAGCGGCCATAACGTTGTCGAAGACTAGATTGTTCGTGAGGACGTTATTTGTTAGGTTGATGATGAGCTGATCATATGAGTCAGGTAGACTCTGAAGTAAAAGTTCTACATGTTCATTCATACCGATTGTATGCCCCCACGTTGTGAGTTGGGAGAACAGTGTGTTGGGATTTTACGCCAAAAATCCTAAAACAGCAGAAACACGGTATAGAGAAAAGTACACCAAGTTTAACGAGGTTTGGCAACTGCCTACATCCTCGGGAGCCACAAAATTATTTTTTTATTAATCAACAAGAAATTACAATACAAGAACAGATTTCAAACTTGAGATCTCTCAAAATACAAATTAACACTGTAATTTGGGAAAAAGAATTCCTCTTAAATCTCCCCTCTTTAATTCACTGAGTGCTGGAGATAAAAATCAAGAGCCCCCTCTTTAATATGAACTCCATTAGCATAGTAATTACACTACTACCATGATCACTTCAATCAAGTACATTAAGACCAATCACTAATATGAATTACATGCTTGGGAATCAGGAGTTGAGTGAAAAGTCGATCAGGCAAATATATTCCAAGTGTGATTTCGTAATAATTTAAAAACATGTTCATTTAATAGAAATTAGTAATAATCATGAGTCGGTAACTATTTTGGAGGTTATGAATAGGAGTGAAACTGTCACATTTCTTTATGGCTTATTTCCCAAAAGACCTATCGGTTTGTCACATAAAACGACCTCAC